TATCAGTTCCATTTGAGTAGACCTGTCAAGATATTTACAGACCTTGACAGTACTTCTGTCTTTAATTAATTTTTTGCCCAGATACTTTCATGTAATTTAAATAGATTATTAGTTGTCAGGAGCTAATATAAATTTTGTTTACGATTTAGTTACTTTAAGTCCTCGAACTGAAGAAATTAATTTGACCCGGTGACGGAGGCGCTTCCAGCATCGAGATGAGGCCACTGGAAGCTCCACTGCCCTTGCATCTCCCAGGACTCCTACGTCACTGCACCTTCACTGCAAACATCAAGGCACTAAACTGAGCCCCTCCCCCACGTTTTTTTAAAACAAAATATGTTGGGGAGGGTCATAAGGAAAAACCCATTTACACTTGTTCACATACAGGTTCTTTCTTTGAGGCAGCTCACTTTCCAGCGGCTGGCCAGCGGGACAACGTCCTCTCACTCTAAATCCCGCAGCATAACTGCTGAACAAACACCTGTGTGCACAGGGCAGGACAGATCAGGAAAACTAGTGTCAGGAGGCTTCCAAAAGGAAAGCCAGCCTTGCAGAGACCCTCACGGACCCCAGGGCTGGGGAACCGGGACCAGGACCAGGACATACACAGCTTCTGGCACACCCTTCTGGTGCCTGGGAGCTGGCTTCTAAATAAGGCCTGACAACGCCTCAGTACAAACTGACTGTAATTAATAAGAATAATTCATTGCAAAACAAAGAACACTGTCTAATTGTCCTTCCCGACTGCCATGCAATTTACCCCACTGTACTTCCTCCTTCCAGAATGCCAGCCTTGTAGCCATAAGTGCAAGAAGATTGTCTATGGGATGCAAAACCAAAGCACTTCTTGAAATCAAACGTTCCTTACAACATTTATTTTTAGATTGGTGACACAAGCCAAATCTGCTTAATTTCCATTAACCACGTCGTCACATGCACAGTGAAATAAACTATGCAGATCCCAAGGGAAAGAAAGAAAAACAACTGTCATGCATAGGTCCCGAATTGGCCAGGGTCTCCCGTTTCAGGGATCCGTCGCGCAGGCATGGCCTGCTGATGTGCCGGTTTGGGGCACCTCTAGCCGTTATTCATGCAAGTGCCATGGAAGAGAAACATTTATTTTAAAAATCGGTTTACGATGGCTCCTTGGATCGTACACATATAACAAAGTGGCTGTAGTCCAGTGAAACAAGTCACAAGAAAGACCACTTACAGATGCAGGTGCCTAACTGCAAACGTACCTGGCTCGCTGGCTTGACTCACAAACCCTGCGGGTCACCTGGTGGGATTACTACCACCAACTAAAGGAATAAACAGTTCCCGGCAAACAGGACGCGTGTGCGTTGGCTCATGCAGACAGTTCACTGTCTATGCAGCAGATGCTCCTCTTAAGGTTATTTTCTTTAGAAAACAAGCCCTACTTGCCTTAGACCTTTATAATCTCCAGGTTCAAAAGACATATTTTTTTTAAAAAAGGACAATACTGTTGGCTTAGCTAAAAAGGCATTTACTATAACTGAATTCTATAAAAGGAGTATGACACTTACCAGGCTAAAAAAAGGAAAAGGCCCTAAGCAAAAAAAAAATAAAAATAATTTAAATCACAAATACCACCTGTGCAAATCTAGCTCTGATCTGGAAACCTTTCTAGCCACAGAGAAACAGCTCATGCTCAGTGCCTTGGAGTTGCAATTAGATTGTAGTAATTTAAGCTCATCCGCAGAGCAAAGGGCATGGGAGCTCTTCGGAGGGCTTCCTCCCTACTTAATACTCTCCAGTCAGGGGTTAAATGAGTTTCTTTAATGTAAGTACCTTAAAGTAACTGAATCATAAACAAAATTTATACTATTTTCTGACAGCCTGCAATCTATTTAAATTTTATTAACGTGTGCCTAAAATTATTTTTCAAAGACAGACCCTCGCAAAGCCCTGTAAATATTCCTGGCATCCCTACTGAACTGTAATTGGTGCGATAACGCTGACATTGTCTGAATACACATACCTTTTGGTGATGCTAAATCTTACAAGGTAACATTTCAAAACTGAATTTGAGTTTTAAAGTAAAAAATAAAAACCAAATACACAGCACAATAAGATAGGGTTCCAAAGAAGTTGTCACATCTGCTCTGTTCTCCCTTCCCTTTCTTAATGTTGGCATTGGATGTGCTGTGGTATAAATATATTTGTTTAGGAAATATCACAATTCTTCTGTTAATCTAAACAACTGCTGAAAACATATACCCTTCAATAGAGCCTGAGAATATAAATATACAAGGTCAGGGATACAGTTTCCGGAGAAGCAAGGAAAAAACTTAGTGACAGAAAACTATGCCTGGCTCAATATTAACCTAGTTAACTTCTGTTATTGTTGATACAAATGACTTAACTAGAGGATATTTACAGCTTTTTAAAAAAAAAATACATATTGCAGAAAATTGCCTAATAGCATCCATGTGCACATTTAACTCGCATTGTTTAATTACACAATAAAAGGTATACCCAATAAAAACTACAGACTTTGAAACATGTTGGCCACTATGGTTATGAAACTCTGACTTATAAAAAAACAAAGTGCTTCTATGTGATCAACATTTGTTATTTAAAAATGAAATTCTTAAATGACAATTATTTTTATTTTTCTGTATATGTTTACTTGTCCTATTTCCTACTTTGCTCTATTTAATTTAAAATGATATTTAATTTTGGGAGAGTTTTTAGAAAAAAAAAAGGTTACACAGTTTATATGCCAAATTTAAATATAAATGCAAAATCTTACAGACAGACATCTTCAGCAATATCACCCTCTTAATTTAAGACAGTTAATTTGAATACTCGATGTTTCTTTCCTTTCATTATACTTTGACAAGCCTGTGAAAACAAAACGCTAAAGTAATTACTGTTACTACTCCCTTTAAAAATGTAAAGCAGTTAAATTTTCCTAGAAAACAAGCAAGGACAAGTTACAGAGAACTTATATCAAAGTAGCAACCTGGTTCTGCTGAATGCTACTCTGAAAAAGAGGTATGTCTAATCTGCAGACCCATCCCTCTTGCATTTTTAAATTCCAAGAGTGGGCCGACACAGAACACCATCACCAGGTTTTTGTGTGTTGTTTGTTTGTCTGTTTGTTTGTTTGTTTTGAACTGCAGATCAGATTTAAACCCCCATTTACAAAACCCTGGCTTCCCTGATAAGGCAGATCTTCTCAACTTGCTGTGAGAAAACGTTATCTAGCTCTCGTGAAGGAGCCTGATGCTAGGAAGAAGAATTCCACTGCACACTTCTGGGTAGCAAGACAGCCTCCAAAGACTTGTATTCTTTTAATACCTTCTTGGATGCATTCTGTTCAGAAACAAGAATGCATTAAAAAATAATAACTTGTTTAGGAAGTCAGCATTCATAAAGAACTCAAATGCTGCCTAGAGAAACCCTACGTATGTCCTTCCAAGTGAGCTTTTGCTTGCACAACAAAGATCAGCATTTGCAATGGTCCATTTCTGCATTAGTAAGTACATGGCTTTCCTGCTTGATCCAATAGTAGGGTCCTGGATGCAGAGCTCCTGACAACAACCCAGCGGCAGTTCCATTTGATCTCCCTGCTTCCTTAATTTGGGTTGTCAAGGTTCAGCAGTTGGAGGCTGTTTACTTTACTTCCCCCCCCCAAAAAAAACCCTGATTTTTTCCCTCTCTCTTATTAGCCCAAAGTCTAAGGGGGTGGGAGGCTGGGGTAGCTATGCAGCCAGTGGCGAGATGTTAAACCGTTTCCCCCCTTTGTGCAGGGAGATTTTTAGCTGACACCTTTTGAATAACTAGTTGAGTTCCATTTTATATTTTTAGTGCTCTTTAATTATTAGACATTTCAGGTAGAAAATCAGAGAAGAAAAACCCCATTCCAAATCTCTGTAACTGTGAACCCAATTTTCTTTTCCTGGATTCAAAGAGATGGGTATTTCCACTTTGAAAATCAAAACTCCAATGGAATTCTTTAAAAGATTTGATACATTTCTCTCTGGAACCGAAAATAACAGGAACTCCTCTATCTCAATTATGTTGGTTAACCCTGGGTAGAAAACACCTTAATCTAACAATTTCTCCTCAAATTCCAGTTAAGACTTCTCCCCCTTAAACGGATTTTCAGTGGGGGAAAAAAAAGGAGAAGGTAAAAATTTTGAAGAGGTTCTTCAATATATTTGCAGCAATAGAAAATTCTTTTAAATATCCTTTAGGTTTTTCTCAAACCAGCTATTATGCAAACCCTAAATCCTAAAGCCTATACGGACAACCAAAGGAAAGGTCAAGCTTAGCCGTTCTCAATGTCCATACAGACGCCTTTCCAGGGGAATAGACGCCCTCCGGCACTGCTGGTGAGTGAGAGCAGTAACAAAAAGGACACCCAACTTAGAAAATACCTGCGACCGGACGACAGCAACGCCAGCCTCTCCTACGTGGGCTGGCGAAGCTCAAACGCAACCAAATTAAATGTTTATATTAATTGCACTGCTCGGCCCAAGCCTCACAGATGAGGGCTGGGGGAGGGGGGTGTTAGGAAGAGGAAGAAATGTTTCATTTGGGGTTTTCTGGTTGAACAAAAAGAAAATGAATAAAACGGAACGCGTAGGACGAGCCCAGACTAAATCAATACACTTTGTGATCAGCTCGGCAAGGGTATTTGGACACAATGACTTGGAAATAATTGATAGTTACAAGGGGGGAGTAGGGTGAGAAGAGGAGCGAGAGATGTCACCATATTTTATCAGGGCACTTTACACTCCACGCTAAACTTTGATCTCCGGGTTTTCGGATTTAAGAAATAAAGGGGGAGAGAGAGGAAGTCCGGTATTGGAAGATGGGCACATTCCTGCCTCCGGTGCCTACCGCTACACATGCTGGCGCTTGGGGCACTGAGAGCCCCCGCGGTCAGCCCGGAGCTCAAGGGTGTCCCCAGCCCCTGCGGCTCCTCTCGCATCCTGGCCCCCGCGCCCGCCGCCGCCTCGACTTACCCGCCGAGTCCGGGAGGGAGTGGGAGCGCCGCCTTCACGCCCGCGGAGGAGGCGCCAGCAGCACCATGGTCCTCGCGCTGCCGCTGCCCCGGGCCCGCTGGCTGGCCACGCGCTCTTCCTCTTGCAAACTTTCGGGTTCTGCGGTCGACAAGAAACCGGGGCGACACTCAGCAAGTCTTCCCGGTGCAGGTTGGGGGGATCGGGTGGGGGAGGGATGAGTGAGCAGCTGAAAGGCCGAGACCGAGGGCGGCGGGCTCAGAGGACCCGCGAGCGCGGCGGGAAGAGACTGTGGCAGGGAATCCCTGCAGGATCCCGAGGCCGGGAAACGGGCCGGCGCAGCTGAGCACCTACCCGGGATCTCACAAAGTTGCAACAACAAAAAGGAGGGGGCGGGAAGGGGTGGGCTAGGGAGACGGTCTGGGCGCGAGGTTTGGAGTTACAACTGTTTATTTAGTCCTTATTCTCAGAGGGCGGGAGCTGCGCGGGTGGAGGTGGGGGTGGTCTGCAGGCAGCATTTTCGCAGCAAACACTTGAGATGGGAGCTTGCGACTTTGTTTCTGGGCGCGGAGCTCCCCGGCGCCCGCGTGCCACCTCCACTCTCCGGGGACCGAGATGGAGGTCACAACAGGTGGGGAGGGAGACTCGCCAAGGACCGAAAGGAGAAGGAATCAAAGTTTCCGATCCCGGCGGTATCTGGGGAGGAGAGGAGCAGGAGGCGGGGGCCAGAGGAGGCGGAGGCAGCGTCTGACCGCGACCCTGGGGCGACCAGCAAACTCCAGGGCTCCCGGCGCCGCCGCCGCGGTCTCCGCCGAAAGCGCACGCCGTCCCGGCTCGCCGGCTCCACCGAGTCCGCTCTGCCGGACGGAACGGAGCTCGGGAGGAAGGCGGCGCTCGGGCGAGGGACGGGGAGCCTCGGCGGCCGGGACGGGGCGAAAGGACGCGGTGATTCACACGCGTCTCCGGATAGATGGGCTTGGAAATCTACCCCTCCCCGCGTTCCCCAGCTTAAGAGGGGAGTGAAAAGAGAAAGTGTGTGTACGAGTGTGGTGGAGAGGGAAAACGGGAAATCCGGGCGCGGAGACGCCCCGCATCGCACCCTGCGCCCACTCGCACGCGCCGTGTTGGCCCCGTCGCGGGGAGGCTGGGTTCTGGGGGCCGAGCGCGCGTGGGGTACGTGTTTAGCTGCGGGTGTGCGGGTGAGTCTGAGTCCGGTCTCCGGAGGACGACGACGGAGTGGCCCTGCCGCCGTTTTCGGAGTCAGGCGTGCGTGGCACCGGGGATGTCCGCCAGCTCGAGGCCCAAGGCGTGGACATACCCAGTCATTCCGCTGCGGCCCAGGGGCACCGAGGGTCATTCACTCCGGGAGAGAGAAGGGAAAAGTTTGCGCCAAGTCCAAACTTGGGGATCCAGAGGAGAGCAGCGCGCGCCCCCTCCCGCCGAAGACCCGACCCAGGAACCCGTGCCCGCCCCGCTCCCCCGCAGGCGCCCGGACGCCAGACACCGAAAGTTGCCCCGGGCGGCCTGGGCTTGCAGACTTCTCCCCCCGAGCGCAGATCCCGGCGCGAAGGGGCCAAGAGGAAGGCGATCTCGTCTCCTCGCCGCCCCCCTCCATTTGACTTATGCAAATAGCCCCGCGCGCGGCGCCTCCGGGGCCCCCTCCGCCCGGCGCCGGCCCACAGCCCCCACCCGCTCCCCAGCCCGGGCCCGACCGGGGAGAGCGCCTGGGGGGAGGGCTGGGGGAGTGCACGTGGAGCCTGGAGGTGGAAAGTAGTTTTTTTCTTTCTTTCTTTCTTTTTTTCCTCTTTTTTTTTCCTTTTTATCTTTCTTTTTCTTTCTTTTTTTTTTTTGTGCTGGTTGTTGTTTAAAGTGGCGGAAACAAGGCAGGAGGCGGCTTGGGAAAAAGTGGAGCAGAAATGGAAAAATACAAACTCACCCGCTGCAAATGGTCTCGCGGTGCAAACTAAGGTGTTTTCAGCCTTTCCCCGCACGCGCCCACTCCCGCCCGCGCGCGCACCCCGCGCACACACTTACACACAGACACACGCGCGCGCACACGCACTCGCGGGCGAGGACGGGCCGCGGCGAGGCCGGCAGCAACCGCCACACAATAAATAACAATAGATTCCTCCGCTGGGGACTAGCTGCGCGGAGCTCGGCCGGCGCCGGGGGCCGCGGGGCGCGGGTGGCGCCGGGCCGGGGGCGCTCCCCAGCCCGTCCCCCGGCCTCCCCCGGGCACCGCCTCTCCGCCGGGGCCGCCCCCGGGCCCCGACGCCCCCCGAGCAGGAGCCGCCGCCCTCCCCCCGGCCCCTCGACCTCCAGCGCCCACCCCCGCCCCCGGCCCGGCCTCCCGGAACAAATAAATAAATGAGGCCCGCGAGAGTCCAGCTCCTCGCGGAGGAAGATCTTGTTATTTTTTGCTGTTGTGCGTCCCTGACGTCACATCCACCTGCTGTGTAAACAACCCGGCTCGCAGCGAAAGGAAAGAATCGCCGCTGCCGGAGCCGGGGGGCGGGCGGCCGGGGGCCGGGGCGGGCCGGGAGGTCCAGGCTGCGGGGCCGGGGCGGCGGCCGAGCCCCCGCCGGAGGGAGGGAAGCGGAGCGACCGGCTGCGGAGGGTCTGCCTGGAGAGTGAGGGGCTGGGAGGAGAGGGCCCCGGAAGATGGAGGGGCATTCCGGCCCCGGGGATCTCGCGGCAGAGCTTTCACGAGGACGGAGACGGGAAGGCATGGCCATTTGCTCGGTTTCTGAGCTAAAAATACAGAAGGAAGCGGAGAGACGGGCGCTGACTCCGCTGCAGTTAAAAGCGAAAGTGTTTGGCCGGCGGTGACAGTTGAAGGGGCGGCGGGTGGTGCCCCCCCCCCCCGCCCCCCGTCCTCCCCGGTCTCTCTCTCTTTCTACACTTTGTCCAATGAAAGAAGGCGAGTTCGGGAGTTGAAAGTTCAACAGAAGGACAAACCCCCTTTGCGAGGAAGCAGAAACCCGCCAGCAAGGGTTCCCCAGCATTTAGAGGCGATCGCGCGGGCGCTCTCCTGCCCCGCGGCCCAGCCCGCGGAAACGTCTGCGGAGATGCCTTCGGCGGGAGCTGGGTTCCGGCCTCGGCCGCCTGGACACCGCCCAGGGCCGCTCAGATCCGCGTGGACACCGGTGACCGGCTCTCCTCGAGATCAGTCACTTGCAAAAAGCTCTGTCCAGTTCTGTAAAAGGGTGAAATTGTGTGCGCACTGTTTGGAAGTTCGGTGGCATTTAAAAATGTGAAAGAGTAATTAGGAGCCTGAATGAAATGTTTTGAAATATACATGTAAATACAAAAAACAAACGGCACTAGGAAGAAGACTTTTGGTTTCCAAAAGTGACTTAGATACAGAGCTCTATGTCTTGTTAACAGAAATAATTTTCCTCAGAGCCATCACCCCAGATGCTGCCAAATCCCCAGGCCAGTGCTCCCAGCTGTTGGCTGGGTGGTGTAGTGGCCAAAGCCACCCCTATGGGTTCAACAAAATAGTGGGGGGTGGGGGGGCGAGTACTGTCCCATTGGTCTTGAGAACAGCGCAGATAATATTCTGAAAAGGATATTATAAATCCTTTGGGATAACTTTACAAGTATTGTTAAACATGCATTTACAGAAGTCTAAATTTCAATTTCAATAATAGCATCAGGCTACTACTTTAAACTTGTATCTCCTTTGCAACTTAAAAAAAAAAATAGCCACTGCCTGGTGCTATACAGAGTAAAGCCCAAAACTGGGAGAGAGGTGAGGCAACTCCAGCGCAGCAGGGCTCCTGGTGAAGGCCTCTGCCCCATCCATGAGAGCCAGTCAGGACCATCCACTGAATCGTTTAGAGAGAATCTAGGTAAAGAAAGTGCATGTGGGTTTGAGTGGAAGTTCCTAGCTTCCTGGAAGGTGGGGTTCAGGTTGTCTTTGAGGCGAGACGTTAAGACGACTGGCACACCTACTCTGCTCTAGACCCGCCGTAAGCATGGAGAGAGCAAAAACGACAGCCCTGCCCTTGAGGAGCGCTCAGGCCACAGCTGTCGGTAATGACAGCTGCTATTTATGACTTAGGCGCTGATGGAAAAGCTTTAATCAGCTCCGTTAATGCTCTCAACAACACTTTAGCATCACTGGGAATCCCATGTGCTGAATTCACATGGAATTAAGTGGAAATCTACAAAGCAGCCCGTCTATTGAGGGGATGAGGGGTTGCTTTCATTTCTAAAAAGTTTATGCCAGACCTATGTTCATGTGACATGTTGGGCTGCGGACAGTTGGAGGGGCAGTGGGATGGTGTTTTCCACCCCCTCCCCACTCCCTTCCTCTCAGAGAAATAGTAGTTTATTTTAAATGTGACTAATTTATTCCTGGTCTGTAAAGAACAGTTCATGCTCTGATCTCATTTTTTGGATTAAACAGTGAGTTTTAAAAAATTATTAGTATTGCCATACTAAATGCTCTTTAGATTGCCACTGGTCTTATTCTGCGTTTGAACTGTCTCAAAATCTACATTCACTTGAAAGTGGGGGCCTAAGTCAGGTTGGAAAGTGGGGGCCAAAGTCAGTTTTGTGGACAAAAGGAAATCCTGTTTGTAAACCCTGTAATATAGTGTGCTCAACTTCGTATATACCACTGTCTGTGAGCTACCCTATTAAAGAACTCCATATCCATTTGGCTTACATTAGATGGAAACTTAACTGCAGCTTACGTAGTGTCCATTTCCCACACGTCGCCTTATATTCATAGGAAACACATTTTAATTTCTTTATCAGTAGTCTGATAAAGGGAAGTTTCTTTTTGTTATAGTTAGGCAAGAAGGGCTTTTAAATAAAGGGCATGGGGGTAGGGCGCCACCTTTTGGTGGTAAAACAAATTGAAATCTATTTTTAAGCAAATGTTCCTAACATCATTTCATTCTTAATTACACCAAGGCAAAGGTGCCTGCCCCCATATTGTTATATTTTAAGTAACAGGGGGAAATATTGCAAGTGAAAACTTTAGTTAACTGTGGCCAAAATTTCCCAAGGTTTCAGAACGTGTGCCCTGTCATATACCATTAAGTCAAACGCCAACCCTGCTGTGCAAATACTGAGTCCATTAATATGTGCCCATTTCGGGGACAGGAGCTGGAGTGGATATCTGCCACCTTATGAGATACCCGAGTGCTCTTGGACGATTAGAGTAAACAGAAACTTGAAAATCACCTCATTCAGTGTTTCTTTAACTATAATTACTATCTTCCTAATTTTTGCCATATCTACATAACGTAATAGTTCCTGAATAATTAATATGCTGTACTCATTGGAGTGCAGTTATTATGGTAATTGTACTGGATATTTCTCTTTAAATCAACTGACATGTTATTTTTTTATATTACTACTTTAAAAGGGGAACCAACAAATTAAAAACAGTCACAGTGCAAACAAACTCATTGCTTTCTCTTTGTTAGGGAGACTGGCAAAAACATAGAAAAATTAAAAATAATTTTTTTAAAAAAAGAGTGGCAAGTGCTGAGAAGTGTCAGTGGACAGTGTCATCGGGCACTCCGAGACAACCACAAGGGGCAATGTGTGACTTGGAAGCTGGTCACGGAATGGTGAAAGACCCAGTTTAAAGGGGTTTTCCCAACAACAAAACTCATTCAGAGGCTCAGCAGTAAAACTAGAGACGGTCATGCCTGTTCTGAGCTTTTAATCACAGTTATAGAGATCGCATTTCCTGCTTTTCTCCCTTTAAGGACAAAGTTCTATAAACAAGTAAACATGGCCTGCAAAAAACATGTTTTCCTAGTTGGCCCGGGTGAACGAGGTTGCTGATAACTGTACTCTAGCTCTTTCCCTGCGGGTCCCCATGGACTCTAATCCCTGTAAACTACAAAGAAGTATTTGACCAAATACCTCCACTCCAAAAAGCTAGTCTGTCCCCCAACCCCAGTGCAACATGTTGGTAATTTGAAGATACGGAGAGGAAGTGGGAGCAGCTCGGTCCTCCCTGCCAGAGTGCCTAGAACAATCTAGAGCCTCCAGGCCAAATGAGGTGCGCTGACCCTCAGCCTGGACTACCTGAGCACCTTGGAAACGCAAGTCTCAGCCCAGTCCCGAGACCCACTGAACCGGAATCTGCATGTTAACAAACCACCCCGCTGGGTCTCAGAGACGCTTGAGAAACACGGACCTGCAGGCACGTAGCCCCTCGCGTCACAGGCGCCATCTCAGTGACCTTCACAGCATTAAGACTAAGGTTTAAACCACCTGACAGGCTGCCCTGTAAGCTGTCTGCCATACCTGGTTCTCCAAACGTGTCTTTTGTGAAATTTGTTGGTTCCTTGTTTTCAACCACTTGCAAAGTTAAGCCACTAAATCACCTCTGTAAACCATGACTAATTCCTTTGACATTAATAGCAGGGTGACTTCTCTCTCCTATTACCCCAAAGACACTGCTAATTGCCCTCCGATTGTTTACCTCTGTATTGTTCTGGGAGCAGAGAGATGGAAGATACAAGGCCAGAAACAACTGCCAGACAGGTTTCTGGAGGCTCCACACAAGCGATGACTACACCTTGTTAGTGCAAAGACTTTGCTTTCTTTGTTTTGTATTCTTTCTTATGGAAGGAATGACGCTTCCATAATTATAGGTATCGCTGTTTAAGACCCAGAACGGTTTCCAAGCCACGGAGGCCACGCCTCCAGCACGGTGAGCAGTCCCCGTGGGAGCCTCTCTCCAGATCTCAGCACAGTTTATAGAGACACACCTGACCAGCACTGGGTTTATATAAGTATCAGGAGAGTAAAGAGCACCCACGTAGTGTGCTGTGTCCTAAATAAACCTCTGAGTTGAGGGTTCATTTGCTTCTGTGAGTCCTCAAGACGATAGTCACTTCTCCTTCCCAGCAAGATAACAGGTTACTTGGTAACCTCCCCCCTTTCCAAAAAATAATTAACTCTATTGTTTTAATGCTACCCCAAGGCAGGATAATTAAGTCTGTGAGTAATTGTGCACCGGAATTCAAAATAAGATTTCACGTGTAAAGCAAAATTCTGATTATGATCTCTGAGAAAAGTCTTGGCTTATAGATGGAGCCCGCAAGCACCAGCTCAGTGTTACCACAGGCAGCGTTCCCTGGGCTGGAGACAAACGGTGTTTGAACGAGAAGGGAAGTGAGGC